TGCGAACGCTCAATCTCTTCGGCGTCAGCAGATTCGGCTTGGATGTTGTCAAGGTAGTGCCAAGTGATTGTATTTTCTTGTGTCTGTGATACTGCGGTCTTATTCATCTGAAGTTTGCCAGGACCTGGCAAGAAATGTGAGTGCTGGGGGCCGATCGGTTCCTGACGCTCCCCTTGGCCAGTGGGCTGGGGGTACACCTGCGATTCTGTTTGGTTGTTGCCATCTTGGGGGTTTGCATGTATGATCTCGACATCGAACCAGGTATATGACCCGTCGTAGGGGCTTTCACCTCTAGGACCACCACCCCAGCCCTGGTCATGAGACAAGATTGTGAAAACAATCTTGCGACAGGGATGTACGGTCTGATGAGGAAGTACATTTGGGGATGCGCTTCCCAGTGTCTATCGATAGGTCATAAGATATCAGTGTCCATTATAGATAGAAGAAATGGAGGAATTGAAGGCTTGATGATCGCCAGCCGCAGTCAAGGCAAGGTCTGCAACATACCGCCTCATCATAACACAACGGTGCCGTTCGTAGCAGCTCTCGGTCATGATCCTGTCTGATAATAGTCCTTGTGTCCATCCTAGCCTCGATTGAGGGCCAGTATTCGGCAGCCTCCATAATCATGTCCACAATCTCCATTGGCAACCCTTCCGAGATGACCTTCCATCTCAAAATATGCCGAACCTTGAGCACATCAAATACACCGGGATAGAAAATATCCGAATCTGTGTCTTGCGCTGGCTCGCTCGAAGAAGGGTTTGTATCGTCCGAGTCATTAAACGGCGGTTGACGAGGGGAACGGAAGCGGCGCATAATGGACTGGAACATCATATGAAACTGAAACCAATGTTGTAAAATGCGAGGGTATCTTTAGAGAATCTGAAAAGACGGCTACGTAGACAATAATTCAATATGTTTTGGAGGAAGTGTTCGGGCCAACCCAGGCATCAATAATAAAGGAGTTGTCCTGTGCCCAGTCGAATGACACTGCGCAACGATTAAGGTCAACGCTGGTTGAAAAGCTGGTGATTATAGATTTGGATAAAGATAGACAGGTCTCATAGATGACTCCCCATGGCAGTTTTGCCTTTATTGTGCCCCAAAGGCGAAGTCAGAATATTTGCCGTTTCCCCACGTCAGGGCGGGGAGTTCAGGGGACTGTGGGTAACTCAGATCTCTGACGCTTATCAGTATCAGATATGTCTGGCCAGTGGCTTAGATGCACAAATGACGGCCCCAGGCTAGGACTATAATAATGCGACGATGTTCAAGAATATTAAGATGCATTCAAAGGTAACTCGACAATCTGGAAGGGATATACCTCTCTGTGTTCGGCTGATAAGAAATAGATAACTAGTATATCTGATGACGTCAATGTTGTCAATGGGTTCTTTTACCACATCATCCGCGTACTTCTATTGGGCGGCCCTCTAACATCTATATTGACTGAAAAGCAGCGCTGTGATGACTTAGAAATAATGACATTTCAGAATCATGAAAATAACCTTAGCGAGGACATAGTTACGCTTCGTTGTAAGCAGTGCCAAGAACGGCCCACTGGGCAGATGGAAGAAAATGATACATATAAAGAAACCTATTTTGCCATCTTTCCTTTCCTGCCTCCAGCAGCCTGGTACGCTGCAGCTCGCTTGGCGCTCCGGTTCTTCGGCTTGCCTTTGGAGCCACGACTCTTGGTCTTAATTTTGATGCGCGATGATCCCTCTGTTGCACGATTACCTTCAAACACCACCGAGTTCCCGGATATAGACTTTCTCCCTTCGGCCTTCATCCTAGACGCGCCGGCTCTACCAAAGAGCTTACCTGCACGACCTTGAAGCGTCGAGAAGCCCTCGTCGAGAGCTTTGCCGTGAGACCCAGTTTCTGGGCCATCACGCTTCTTGGGGAGCTTCTTGGCCCGTGTCACCCGGAGTTTCCGCGGCAGCATGGGAGGAAACTTCTTCCCGTCCAGCAAAAGTGCCTCCTCCACACAGACCTGATCATAAAACTGTACATAAGCAAAGCCTTTGCCCACGCGGGTAGTCCGGTCACGGACCACCCGGACAGACTCGACATTGCCTTTGGTCGAGGTCCGTTCTTTAGATCCCTTGGTGTGAGCATTGAATGTGCGCCATAAACCTTCCTCAACGTCCGCGGGCCCCGACTTCTTCTTTTTCTTCTTCTCGTCTTCTTCCGGGTCGGTCTCGTTGTCCACAAAGTCAAGGTTGCCAACAAAGACACACCGTTTGTGGTCGATCTGGGAGGGATGCGCAACGCTGTCAACACGGAGGTGTCGATCAAGAACAACGGTGCCGTTCAAGGCCGCAGGTGCTTTCCGCGCTGCCTGCACCGTACTGTAGACAGCATATGCGTTGGTGCTTGGTGTAGTGTCATCCAGTATCTCGCGTCTAGCAAAGGCAGCTCGCTTGGGGACTTTTCCGCCGCTAGCGAAGGCCACGGAGCGAAACCGAATCGACTCGACTTTGTGAGGCCCTGTAGATTCCGGAAGAGTGGAAAGAAAGGATCCCAGATGCTTCAATAGGGTCTTCTTCGCCGATTTGGACCTGATGGCCTGGCTCGAGACATTGCCGAGGAACACGGTACGGTTACTCTTCTCGAGTTCCTGGGACTCCGGATCACCGCTCTCGTGCTTGGGGGCTGTAATTTCGTCCTCTTCCTCCGAACTTTCCTCATCCTCGTCTTTAGACTTGTCCGACACAGAATCAGAATCCTTTCCTTCCTCCTCAACTTTCTGCCTCTTTGCCTTCTCGGCGCGACGCTTTTCTTGTTCCTTCTGTTCCTCCTTCGCTATACGCCGCATATAAGTCTCTTCGAGATCTTCCGCAGGGGCCCTTTTCCGTTTCTTGCTCGAAGTGGCCTGGTTATCCACGGCCGGCGTACTCTCAGCGTCACTGGCTGGTTCCGAGACGTCCTGCATATCTTCATCTTCGCTGTCCGGGTTTTCCTCAAGCTCAGAAATTTCTTCATCGTCTTCTTCCTTTTCTACATCATCTTCTGGCTCGTTGTCCTTTCTCTGTGCGACAATGGGCTGCACAGACGGAGCTTTCACTGGACCGGCCTGAACGATTTGAGAGCGTTAGAAAACCCTTATACTAGTCATGGGTAAGTACGTACACTTTTTTCGAACAGTGAAGCCACTGTTGGGTCAATGGCGGCCTTTCCGGCCAAAAAAGGCAGAGTAATGTCTGTCTTGCCTGGTTGGGAGACATTGTTCGACTGAGCCTTACTTTTCTTGCCCATGTTCAGTCAGAATGGGGAGACCTCTGTCGCCCTTATAAAAATGTCGTCAGGCGATGAGGAAGATCAAAACCGGGTGGTTAAATTTCACGCTATCAAAGAAATTATGCTTTATCTTGCTTTCTTCCTTGCGTTTCCTAAATTTTTCTGCCTCGAAAAGAAAAAATATTTCGGCGACGGGAGCTGGATAAGATCACGTGCTTTATCGTATCAGCAAAGCCGAAAGAGAGTCGCAGCGTCCACAGTTACGGAGACGTCATACAGCTTGACTATCTGTTCTATTATTCCCATGAAAGATTTCTACGCACTCGTATCAGTAGATAGTGATCATGTCATGAAAGAAGATGGCAAGAACTTCTTGGATCCAGCATCATGGTTGTCATGAAGAAGTACCGCGATGCGATCAACAGACGGGGCACGGATTGATATTATCCGCAATTAGCGGCAATGATATCACCGGCACCGAGATCTCTTCATGGCAAGCTGCTACCAAGTACATTGCAACTGATCAATAGCCGGAGTATTAGACAGGAGTATACATTGCTAAGAGCGATTTATTTCCGGATGTTCTGAAAATGCGTTTTCTAAGAAGAGATGCCTTACCAGATGAAATCACTCAAGCTGAGATGCAAACTAAGAATATGTCACATGATGTGTAATCGTCGATACCAGGGCGGTCAGTAACCACAGCCTCCACACCACCTCTCTGGAGTGTGGTCAGTGTCGGCATAAAATACGGCAGAATACCATTACGCTCGGAATACCGCGACGAGTCTCAGCAGAGCAAAAGAGGTAGATTATTGCTGTCGCTCTTGGGGCTCCCTCCTTCACCTTTCTCACTACTGTCCGCTCCCAAGCAAATCTGTGGGTTCTGGAGCACGAGTGAATTTGTATCTCTGTCTGATCAATCATTTTCAGCTCATTGAGTCCTCCATTTACCCTCTTGATATCCTTCGACCGCGATTTCGAACCAATTTCCGCTCGTCCATGCCGCCTTTTCTCTCGCGCTGCAGTGTCGTATCGCCCGCTTCTTGAAGTCCACCTCCTCCACCCTCTCCTCCTTCTTCTCCTCGTTCTCCATCTTCCCACGCACAGTGCCTGTTGCGTAGGCCTGAGGTGATATTCGCTTCTGTTGGACTATACAGACGCCCGCCAGTCTGATTTATTTTGGTTCTGTGTTCCTGTGGCTCGCCCCCAGTGAACGCAGTGGCTAAGTGAATCGCTGCTCGGTCGCGGGCAGCTGTGCTCAGTGCTACTTTCACAGTTGGCGCATTGTTGATTGGTACGTTCTTTTGTGGCTTAGGGCATATGAGACGATAGGTTCTACTCATTTCAATGAGGCTACTGCTTCGGGAACATTTCCCTCTTGCTCTGTTCAGACGGCGCAGTTGCCAGAGACTGCTGGTGATCTCGGGGTGTGTCCCGGTTAGCAGAACGATCAAATCTCCGCACCGCCTTCATCTGCAGACAAGGAACAGCCCAAACAAACTGTTTTCAATGACGGATCTCCGTTCTTATTATGTGCATTTATGTGTCGATTCATTAATTTTGAGATTCTAGCTGACCTTTGTACTCAGTTTTCCAGTTTCCAAACCACTCACTTCCCACTGACTGCCCGAGACCACATTCCCGCTAGCCAACCTTAGTATTCGACTCCCCAGACCGTTCAGAGACGCCCATTCAGCCGATCTCCATACTTTCTTCTCCTAGGTTGTTGTGCTCGTGCCGCGCCATTGCCTATGGAGGTGGCCGCAAGTCGAGACTCAGCTCCTGTTGGTCCGCCAACAGGGCCTGATGCCACAATCACCAATGGCGACCAAGATCTTCTACTGGATGATTCGCTCATGGACGATGGACGTTCAAGTAGTCTGAGCGACATCGACGATGTCTTGGATAATGAACCCTCGGACTACGAAGAGTCGCCCAAGCCTGAGAAGTTAGCACCAGAGAATGACTCTGAAGCTGAGACGGAGCGCATCGAAGATTCCCCGAATCATTTTCGCAGAACCAACATTGTCGTGAGCAGTTATGGCCCTAGCCCCAGCAAATTGGCCCAATCGACGACGTACGATGACGCCGAGGACGGGGACAACCAAATTGAGGATTCACCAAGCAAGCCTCGCTCCAAGCCCAACGGAATCCTTGAATCAGCCGAAGACATACTTGGTTTGGAAGACTCTACATTATCCGAAGGTACGGGAAAGAAGCGCAAACGACCCGAATCTGGCGCGGATCTGGAAGGCGACACGGGTGACGAAGACGAACCGCCTCAGAAGCGCCGCGGGTCGGTGAAGAGTGAATTGAGCGACCCTCCGGCAGATGACAGTGCGCTGTCTCCGGAGCCCATTGAAGAAGTGATTAAAGCGAACGAGGAAGATACCCCGGCCGATGACCTTCCCGAGTCTGACCTACCCACGGCGCCCGCGAAAAACAGAAAAGGCAAGAAGGGAAAGCGAAAAGGACGAAAAATACGCGATACGGCTGATGATGACCTGGATAGTGGTGCCCTCGAGACGGGCGCGGAGGGTCCTGCGGACGATGGCGATGACGAGAATATTGAACGTGGAGAGGACGCCGACGATGGGGAAGCAGCCGCCAAGCTCGAGGAAGAATGTAAGTCGCCCATTGTGGAGTTTTCGATCATACTACCATCTCTTGTTCGACTTACTAATAGCTTCTGAAGCAGCTAAGAGGATGTCCGCAATGGAATCTTTAACGATCCTTGAAAAGGAATTCGCAGCCCTGCGTGATAAGTGAGTCGAATTATCAACAGAGTAGCTTACATCCTTCTAATTGCTGATGATGCCCCTTTAGGATATATGACGAAAGGATATCCAAATTGAATCGAGAATTGGAAATGCTTACTGGCCCCAACCCGACTCACCCTGAATACCTGCGTCAGCTTGAGTGTGTTAAACGACACCGTGATGCAAAGATAAAATACGAACACACCTTGTTCCAGTACCGAATCCAAGCTCTCATGAACAAGAGTCTGGCAGAGCGTGCTCAGACCCATAGCACGTACTTCCAGCGAGTTCGGGACATTCGGGAGAAACACTCAAGTGCTGTCAGCAAGCAATTTTACGCTATTCAGCACGATCGGTTCAAGACAGAAGATCTCAGTGCGCAGCACTACATACCTTTTCCCACCCGGCGTTCACAGCAAATCGCCCACCAAACAGCTTACAACCAAGAAGTGTCCATCATGGCTGGCGTCGCCAAATACGTGGGATTCCCAGCGGCACCTTCATTGGCACCTGCGCGACCGTCTGAACTCGAAGAAGATTTGGAGAAGATGGGGGTAAGATTAATTTTAGGAACCTCCTTAGCTTACCTCGAGCTAACTCATCTGTCTGGACAGATTTCCTTCGAGACCAGGGCACCTACTTCACACCCTTCGACGAACCTACCACGTGGAGCCATGCCAGCCATGTCCTCAAATGCCTTTCGTACAGCTGCGGAGGAGGCCTTCCTTGAGCAGACTCCTTGGGCCAATCCGCAGCACCCCATTCACCATCACCACCATCACCACCACCAACAACAACAACAACAGCATCAAATCCCGCCGGGGCCGCAGAATCGAGTTTTTGAGAACCCACATGCCTCGTCATTCACGACTCCAGCCGCTCAGAAACGAGTGGTCGATATTAATGCTCCCAACGGCTCGGCCTCCACGATAGCGGAGAATCTGTCGGCTGCAAATTCCTCGGCGAATAACACGCCGTATGGAGCAGAACAGGAGCATCAGCACCATGGTCTTGCTCATTTTGGTGTTCCCGACTATGATGCGGATCGCAAATCCGGATATCGATCACTAAGCTCTTCCCCGCTCGATGTGCGAAAACCGCACCCGGCGTATGCTACCCTCGATCATCGTGCTTCCCAAACCACATCGTCTCGAAATCCCGCCTTTTCACCGCAACCCGCCCGTCTGGGGCTTTTCCAATCGAATGTTTCAAAACACGATTCTTCGCCTCCTCTCTCTTCGAAACAAGTCAATTCCATGCACCCATCGTCTGGGATACTGACTGGCTCTGGCTCTAGTCAGATGACAGCTCGATAGGTTCGACCAGAATACTTTGCGCGCCCAACTTCATCTAACCTTCATGACTTTCCCGGCGTCGGGGTTTTGTATAGGGTTCAACAAGGTGTTGTAGAATAGTTTCCATGTATGAATGGCTTAGCATGTACTCTTGGGGACACGAGGACGAATCTCGCTGCTCTTACAAACATCTCTCTCGCATGGTGTCCATCTTATTGCTTTCGTTCTTTGAGCGGTGTGAATAATTGGCGAACGGCTGCATTGGGGGTTTCTGTGTTCAAAGAATTTGCCTCACGATACATAGTTTACTGTGTCATGTCTTATCAAATATCCAGGTACGGTGTCTTGCTACTTTATTGCATGGGTTTTTTGGTGTATATTCCCTACCAGTCTTTCCATTACATGGGTGCACTGTTGGCTGCCGAACGGCACGGAAGGGACGAGTTTGTTCCCATTAATGGAGTCACGGACTGCTTTGCATGAGGGAAAGAAGAAGGCTTTACAAGATGCATAGTTACTGGGGAAATATGTAAATATTTAGGCAAGATTCTGGGCACCAATGGATTTCATCTCAGGCTCTATGAGGATTGGATTATCAAGAAGTACAGGTGATGTCGTGGCAGGAAAGTCATGGCGGATCACATTTCTTGGTGTAGGCAGCTATTTCGAGCTACAGACCTTATGACAGACCTTGAAGGTATCGTGCCCATGAAATGGATGGAATGTTCACATATGGTCATTTCAAGATCCTCTTATGCATGGGATCAAGTCGAGCGTCGTCAAGCTTCGCTGGCAGATACTTGCGGCTGAATGCTAGAGTCCGCTGGCGCTGGCGCGCTCCCGTCATCTGCGGGTGGTGCAGTGCTATCCGCTGGTGCTGAACGGTTGGCCAGGGAGATCTGCTCCTGTTGCTGTGACCGTTCTTGTTGCTGCTGCTGCTGCTGCTGCTGCTGTTGCTGCTGCTGTTGCTGCTGCTGTTCTATGATGTGCGGTCGCCACTTGGCCAGGATTTTCCCTGCGATCGGTCTCGATTCCTCGTCTGGGGGATAGATGATCAGATTGACGATATCGAGGAAGCGAGCAGGGCGTTCCACTTACATGTATTGTAGACGTCTTCCAAAGCGTTGAGACACATTTCCCGAGCAGGAGGTCGGAACATCACGAGATACCTAGTGAGCGGGTTAGTGGTCGTAAACAGTCATTCAAGAAAGGTAAAGGACGCGTACAATAATGATTGAACACATAAGTTGACTCTTTCAGGATCTTTCGCAAGACTGGAGACTCGCTTTGTGATGGGAATAGTGACCTCCGGTATTTCGCTGAGAAACCGGATAAAAATCTTGGTATCCCGGGAATCCAGATAGGGCAAAAAGCCATCCAATAGTCGCAGGACCCATTGGTCGTAATGTAGGGGTACAGAGGCCTCCTCGTCTTCCTCGGTCCGCTGAGTAGCAGCGAACTTCATCTGAATTCGGTCATTGTACCATTCTTCGTTCAACCACATGATCCCGACGTTGACTCGCGCTCTAAAATCTTCGAGTATGTACCGGTATAATGACTCGCGGATGAAATTCGAGATCGCTGGGGTCTTCCTGGCTCGTAGGTCTGATTCGGGCTTCTTGTCGTCAACTTCTAGAGTCGCGGGCGCTCTCGTAGCAAGTCTGGTAAGTAAGGTAACCCAAGCATCACGGTCGAACGTGCTGCCCGCTAATCGAGAAAAGCCTAGATGCTGCTGGGTTTTTCCTTTGGCAGGATTCGGGGCCATCGCAGTTGATGTGAGCATCTCGAAGACTCTTCCCACGGCGCTGCGACCAATCTCCGCTGCCTCCTCTTCCGTCAATGGCGGTGGTTGCGGCAAGACGAATGGACCAAGAGAGACTAGATCTGGCTGCAACTCTGCCATTTCGGCGGATACGGCACCTGCCTGCTCAGCAGCTGCTACAGCAACATCCATAGGTTGGTATTCAGGTTCATAGTCATCATCCTCCTCCTCGGTGACTGCCACTTGATGTTTCGCGGCCTGTTGTTGAGTAAGAGTCTGATATCTGGCTCGGACACCCTGTAGTAGTAATGTTAGCACTTGGTCCATCCGGAGACCTCTCGAACATTTAACATACTTCAACAGCCTGCATCAACGCAGACGGATCGACCCGGGCTAGCACGGGGACCGCGATCTTGACTAGGAGATCGGGTGGTAATTGCTTCACATCAAAGGAGGAAAGACCTGAGTCTTCTGTTAAGGTGTACAGCTGAGCGTAACTGATGGGGCCGGGTGGAAGAGGAGGAATCTTGATCAATGGAGGCGTTTCTGCATCGAGTCTGGCACGTTTAGCATTATCAAGCCCATCGGTCGGCTCAAATGGCAGCCCTCGCTTCTTGGATGCATCATCCACGGTTTCAAAGCGGGACTGCATCAAACGTTCCATGTGGTGTTGCATTTTGCTTGCAAGGGGATGGCTCGGATTTCTATCGACCCATTAGTTTTCTGTGCCCGCACCCGCAGGTCTTCGCAATTACTCACTTCTTCAGGATATTTACAAACAACGCCCTAGCCGTTCGTTCCATCGACTTGACGCCAACACGGATAGCAGGCGTCAGTGGTGTGCGCACCTGTTTCGCAGGGTAGAAGTTCAGAACAGCATTGATGATCTTGTTGCCAACGGACTGTCGATTTCGAATCAGCACCGCCAGGCAGTTTAGCGTAGCGTTAACGAGGAGAGGATCGCTACATGGAAGAATTAGCGACGAGGCACATTGAGCGGTTCGGAAGGTCATTGATGGTACCTAGCGTCTTCTTGGAAAACGGACAGTAGCCTGTCGAGCAGGCCAGAGGCTTCCGCCTCGAGATGGGGTAGAGCTAAAATGGAGTGATTTTTGGGAACGATGGCCAGGGACGTTTCATTATGTTCGGGGCGCTGGAGATTGTCAACAACAACCAGGTCTTAATAAAGACAATAGTCAGAGGGCTGTACACATACTCTAGGGTCAGCAATGGGGCCATGTGTCTGCACCTGGACGACCCGCTGAACAAACTTGATACAGCACACTTTGACTGGATAAGGAGATGAGTCCCATTTGCGCAGGATATCTTGCTTGACAGCCGTCATATTCTCCCACAAAGCGCTGTCTTCTGGATGATTGATTCTGTGATAGAGTACAGGCGTCAGTAAAGACAGACACTAAGCAAATTTCAGACCAGATCGCCTCCTCGTTGCGAGCATCTACGAGGGCATGATCCTCCACAGGTCTCCAGCGCGACGAGTGAAAAGAATTGATCACATACATGTGTCTAAAAGCCAACGGATACAAGCTGGCCGCAATCTGCACTATATGCTTCAAGACCGGAGTGTCTCCCTCAGGCAACTCTAAGATCTCTCGTATCGTCTGTAACACCCTGCCCGCCAATTGTTCCTTTTGTGCCGTCGCCAAAGCGGGACTGGCGAATGTTTCTGCTAGAAATTCCGCTCCCCATCGTCGCAGTTCCAATCGCGCGTGCGCACCGATGATTGGAATGATTCCGTTCACAATCTGCGGATAGAAGGCGGCGTCGCCGAGAACGAGATTTCGAGCTGCATTGAGCTGTGCGACCTGGTCGGCAAGGTGGTTTGCCGCAATCTCAGACATAATAACTGCGCTCGACAGCTAAATGAAAGGGCCCGGATGGGAGAATATTTCGAGATATGGTATGGTCGAGGTATTGGCCACCTTGCTAGTGTCTACGCTGCATAAATTCAGAGCAAACAAATACTGTAAATGAAGAAGACCGGCCTAAGACATAGGACCGACGAAGAGCACGGCGTTCACGAGACACGCCCCATGGACGCGTAAAGAATAGCCGGATACGCAATAGGACAGCAGTCGTTGGCGACTCGAGCCTTCCGCAAAACAAAACGCTCCGTGAAATGGGTGAATAGGTTTCGAGCAGCGTATAAGTCTGGATCTACTAATTGTCGTTTAATTGGCTTTGGCGATGATGTGTTGAAGACGACGACGATGATGGTGATGACGATAATAGAATTAGTAGTAGCAGACAGCAGGAGATGGCGAGGATTGGCGCTTTTCTTGGATGTCCGCCAGCGGACGCCGAGTTTGGCCGACCCGAGAGCTCTTTGTATGGGTGCTGGGAGGAACCACACTCGCTGCTACTTTATGGGGAAAAAACAGTAGTTTAGAGTCTTTAGTCAGTGAATCTGTAGAGATAACTATTTGACGAAGATGCAAGATGCCATTTGAGAGAAATGGTCAGGACCGAAGCTGGCAACAGGAGAATGCTTTACATAGTACAGCTAGCAGCCGCTGTCCGCGTTTGTTCTGCCGGCAGAAAAAGCACACCACAAACGCCGAGACTGCTCTCTGCCCGCGTTCCAATCATCGTCAACTTTCTGGTCATCATACAGACATATTGGCGTAGAAATCGCTCCGACTTCCATCATCTTCACATTTTCGTGCATTCAAACATACAGACCCTACTTGCACACAATGCCTGCAGGAATGTACGTCAACTCCATCCACCGCACTATCTGCAGCAACTACGTGCAGCTGGCTCAATTCCAATCGCACCATACTCTTTCGAACGAGTCGCTGACCAACGTCTCTCTCTAGTTTCAATTCGACATATTACGGCAAGGACTACCGCGCCGGGGCGGCTCTCCTTCGCGCTCGTCGCCCGTATCTCTTCAAGAATGCTCTTACTGGACTCGGCCTCGTCGCTTTCACAATCAGTGTCTGTACGTACTCCATACGACCCCCACTTCTTGATGTGTCAGAGAACAGCCACGATGAGAAGCATGGTTTGCTCACACTGAAGGAACCCTCCCAGATGCATACACCATCCGCGCAGTTGGTCAGGACGAATTCTCCGACGTGAAGGTCCCCGACACTCCCGCGAAACCTCAGCAGCAGAAGCAATGAGCCATCCCGTCTACTTCTACCTACGAGTTGGGAAACTTCTCAAAGCCACTTGTGGCCAATTGTTCGATCATTGTATCAGCCATGGTGTATTGGGGTACGGAGTCCGGGTG